ATGAACTTCTGAAGACTGTTCTTATATACTCTGTAACCAACTGGGATTTATCCCAGGAATGCAATGGAATATCTGAAAATCAATGAATATAATCCATCACAGTAGTCCCTCAATATCTGTGAGGAACTGGTTCTAGTACCGTTACCCCCACCCTCCTCACCCCATACAGATACCAAAATTTATAGATGCTCAAGTTCCTTATATAAGAGTACTACAAAAGCCATGGGGGAAATGAAATTAAAGTACAACTTTCAGTGGAAAAAAAAAAGTTGAAATCAATGCAGTTTTTCCAGAGTACGTATTTTCTTGTGAATTTTTGAAGACCCCTTGTATAAAATGGTGTAGTATTAGCATATAACCTATATACAACCTCCTGTATACTTTAAATCACCTGTAGATTATTGTAATATGATAATACGATCCTATACATCATTTAGTTGGCATGGATTCAGTGTACTACTATTAGGTGCATGGCAAATCCAAATTTTGCTTTCTGGAACTTTCTGGACTTTTTTTTTTTTTTTTGATCAAATATTCTGATCCACACTTGGTTGAATTTGTAAATGCAGAACCCATGAATGTGGAGGGCCAGTTGTGTATCAAAAGACTAAAAAGCTACTGAATGTCTGTATTCTATGGCAGGAATTTGAAAGATTCAAAGGCACAGATGTAGAGAGGGCAACTGGAGATACCAGAGACTGAATAGGGAATAAAGTGTGGGGGACAAGAGGGACTCAGGGAAAAATGTTTAACACACACACAAATGCATGTAAACAAAGAATAGGTTATGCAATGGTATACTATAACATATTTTTTTTAATAAAAAGGTATTGTCAATTGTGTGTGTGTATCTCAGAAACAAAAACAGCAACAACTAGTAAAATGAAAATTGAACATGCAAAACATAATGTAATGTTATTTGTTGAAGATGTTAAATACAGTAATATCCTTAGTTTATCACACAACACGTGTGTGTGGTGGGGTTTTTGGACAGCCTCAACAATTAAATGCAAATAAGAAATTATTAAATAAAAAGAATAAAAAGCAAAAATTAAATAACCATCTCAAAAGGCCCAGAAAAATTATTAAATAAAATCCAGCAGACTTTTTTTTTATGAGAGTTTCTTTTTAAGAGAGATTTTTGCTATAGGGCACATGCACTTGCCAGAGAGACAGAGAGACAGAGAGATAGAAAGTGAGAAATCACCCCACAGGGGAAATGGCCAGGCTGCAAGCCCTTTTCCCTCATTCTCCTCTTGGGATTTTGGGCACGCCTGCACAAATACCTGGCGTGAGTTTTAAGCCACCTGGTCCAGGAGTCGAACAGCAGTCGTGGGAGTCCAGTGATGTAACCATTACACTATCTGCTGGCCCCTTTTTGAGAGATTTTTGCCATAGGGCATATGTGCTCACTAGAGAGACAGAGACAGAAAGCAAATAATCACTCCCTGGGGGGATGACCATGCCACAGTCCCTTCTCCTTCATTCTCCTTTTGGGATTTTGGGCATGCACACACACACACGCCCAGTGTGAGTTTTAAGCTGCCAGGTCCAGGACTCGATTTGCGGTCCACTACATGGGAGCCAACAACATAACCATTACACCATCTGCTGGTTCCTCTAACAGACTTCTATGAGAAAAAGAACACTAAGCAAACCAGAAAGAGAAAGAAATTTTTTAAAAGAGAATTTTTTGTTGTTGTTACAGGGCACATACACTCACCAGAAAGACAGAAAGTGAGAAGTCACCCCTCAGAGAGGATGGGGATAACCATGCCATAATCCCTTCCCCTCCATTCTCCTCTTAGGACTTTGGGCACACATACACGTGCTTCCAATGTGAAGTTGTGTGTGTGTGTGTGTGTGTGTGTGTGTGTGTTTAATTCTTAGTATTTTTAAACATTCGATTGCTATACATCATTTGGCTTGTAAAAAGAATTTACCCAACATGAAATACATCTCAGATCAGTCCAGCTGAGAACACTATACATGTTATCGTCAATAGATAATAAACCATTTCTGTGTCCCACATCTTGCCTCTATTTTTCGCTCTCTGATTTCCTTCCCTCTACTCTCCCCTTCTCCCACCCTCCTTCCACACTTCTAGCATCAATAACTATTTTCACTGCTTATTTGCTCTCCAATCCTTCAGTCTCTACCATATAGTGCAGGCAGTATACATTAAATAGAGATATATAATATCTTTCTTTCATAGCCTGCCTTGCTTCATTCAGCGATAAGTCTTCCACATTCAACCACTTTCTATCAAATGACAGGGTCTTCTTGTTTTTAAGGCTGAATAGTATTCCGAAATCTAAAGCCATTTTTATGTCTAACATGCTTATGGTGAAAATTAAAAATGAAACCAGTTTGTGATGTGGTGGTTAAGGTGGCTGGATCTCACACATGGCCAACTGAGTGGTTTGAGTCCTGGACCTGAAAGCTTGAAAAACATACTAGGCATGTGTTTGTGCGTGTGTCCAAAATCCAAAAAGGAGACAAAACTGGAGGAGAGGGGATTGTGGAGTGACTATTCCCCACGATGAGGTGCTTTCTCACTTTTTCTCTTTTTTTTTTTCTTTTTTTGGAGGGTTTTTTGCGATAGGGCACGTGAGCTCACCAGAAAGACAGAGAGACAGAGAGACAGAAAGAGAGACAGAAAGCGAGAAATCCCCCCCTAGGGGGATGGCCACACCACAAACCCTGCTCCTCTATTCTCCTCTCGGGATCTTGCGCACGCACGCACACGCGCCCATTTGAGTTTAAGCCACTGGGTCCGGGACTCAAACCGTGATCAACTACATGGGAGTCCAATAACATAACCATTATGCCAATTGCTGGTCCCCCTCTTTCTTTTTTTTTAAGAGGAATTCTTTTTGCTTTAGGAAACATGCACTCGCAGGGGGTGGGGGTGGAGGGGAGACAGTGAGAGGAGAAATAAGAAATCAGCCCTCAGGGGGGAAGGCCACACTGTAATCCCTTCTCCTCTATTTTCCTCCTGGGATCTTCGACATGCATGCACACGCGCCCAGCATGAGTTTCAAGTCAAGTCTGGGACTCAAATCACAGTTAGCCAGGTGGGAGTCCAACAACTTAACCACTATGCCATCTGCTGCCCCCCCCACCCCTTTCTTTCTATGTCTCTCTCTTCAGTGAGTGCACATGCCCTCCAGCAAAATTCAAAATTAAAAAAGGAGAGGCCAGCAGGTGGTGTAGTGGTTTAGGCACTGGACTCCCACATGGCTGAACGCAGTTGAAGTCCTGGACCTGGCAGCTTGCTTTCTCAATTTGCCTCTCTCCCTTTCTCTGGTGAGCACACATGCCCTACAGTAAATTTAAACATAATAATAAATAAAATTAATAATAATTCTAAAAAATAACATTTTTAAATGGAGGAAACTGTCATTTGGTTATATTACTTATATTAACAGCATAAAACTAGGACCACTTCTCAGTGGATTAAACATAACAGAGTTTAAGAACTACAGGGAACCTTGAGAAGTTACTTAGTACAGTTACCTATCTATCTTTAAGTATCAAACTATCTCAAGCGAGTATCATTTCAATCTTAAAATATTCCTGAAAAGATTTTATAGCATTCCTTCCCGCTGAACAGTCTGACATGTTTTTGGTCTGACTCAGCACCTTTTTAATACAATGTTGGCATACAGTAACCTTATCCAGACAACAGGGTGTGGTTTACGTAGGGCACAATGGAGCGCTAGCAAGTATCCACCCCCAAGTCTCTGTTAATGAAAATAAGAAAGTAAAGGGCTCTGAGCTCCAACTGCTTGGCTCCACAGGTTCCAACTCCACCAGACTCTGGCTTTCCTCAGTGATCTAATTCCAAATCCTCTCTCTTTCCACATAACCAAGAGTAGACTATCATTTTGTTTTCATTCTGACTTGGGTTTGTCTGTAAACATTTTTTTTCCTAGTTCCCCTCGACCCAATTACCCCAGTAATCAATAACTGATTTATACTTCTAGTGAGTATGAATACACTTAGAACATTTTTGAATCCTAAATATGTTACTTTAAAATGAAAGGAAGTAAACCACAAGTATTTTTAATTTATGGGCATCTGAAATAAAAGAAATATATTGGAGAATCTTTTTGTGTCTCCTAATCATGGACTCATGGACAATTTTATCTGACAAAATAGGCAAGTGGTCTTCAAAAGTTCATGGAAAATGAGCACTATGAAAAAATTATGCCTGAGGCCAGCAGGTGGCATGAGGTTAAGGCACTGGATCCTACATGGCCAACTGCGTAGTTTGGCTCCCGAACCTGGCAACTTGAAAATTATGCCATGCATGTGTGTGTGCATGCCCAAAATCCCAAGAGGAGATGGAAAAAGAAGGGAATGCAGTGGGGCCATCCCCTTTGGGGGGTGATTTCTCACTTTCCCTCTGTCCCTGTCTGTCTCTCTCTGGCGAGTGTAACAAAAACTTAAAAAACATTTTTAAAAAGCCTGGATTTCAAAAGAGTTTTGCACCAAAATAAAGTCATGCTTTAATTCCACTTTTCCAAGAATGTTTTTTCTTTATCCATGCCAGACCACATGCATATGCATGTGAGAAAAAGGAATATGAACACCTTCTACAGGTCTGATCACACAGGATCCCCTTTTCCAGTCCTCCTGCTCATTGGATCTTGGGCAATTGTGCACAACCTTGTGCCCAATGTTTCAAGCTGACCAGTTAAGAGATTTGAACCCCAGTCACCATGTGACATGTACCTTCTTGAGCAGCATATTACCACTGTGCCATGGAGCTGCCCTCTTCCATCTTTTTGAAGTCCTCTCATATTTCCTTCTTAAGAACTGTAGTTCTTCAGACTAAAATCCCCTTAATGTCAGGAGCTAGTTCTGTTTCTGCTTTTATACCTGCCTGTTGGACCCTGTTACTTTGATGTGACCTGTGTAGGAACTTAAAAGTGTCCATCATGCTTAACAATTGCAATTGCAAAAGCAATGGAGGCTCACTAAAGCTGTCTTACATGGTGGTTGTCTTCTTCTTCCTCGTCGCAGTCCAGACCCTGATGGGCAATCTCAGTGGTGCTGTTCTCCTGAAACAGATCGTTCCCCAAATCATACACTCTGGCAGTCTCGGTTGTGACTTTGACTTTCATGCTGTGAAAGCCAGTCGAGACCAATCCCACTTGCAGGTTGATGGGTTCCCCATCAAACAGCAGGAAGGGTGAGTTTACATCTTCTTTAAAACCAGGGGGTTGGTAATCATGTGGAGTCACTGTAAAAAAGGGCAAAAAGCCATGAAAACTTAGTTTCAATAAAACAACTCAGATTAATTTTTTATGTGTAGCATTAGATATCTCATTCAGATGTTTACAAAAAATCCTTCTATTTATATCAAATATTAGTTCAGCACTTAAGAAGGAATTTGACTAGGGAACCAGCAGTTAGCGTAATGGCTATGTCGCTGGACTCCCACGTAGTCGACCGCGGTTCGAGTCCCGGACCCGGTGGCTTAAACTCACACCGGGCGTGTGTGCGTGCGTGCCCAAGATCCCGAGAGGAAAATGGAGGAGAAGGGATTACGGCGTGACCATCCCCCCTGGGGGGTGATTTCTCGCTTTCTGTCTCTATGTCTCTCTCTGTCTGTCTGGCGAGCGCATGTGCCCTATAGCGAAAACCTCTCCAAAAAAAAAAAAAAAAAAAAAGAAGGAATTTGACTAAAGGTGTCCACCTACCTGCATTATAATAGTGTAGTTTCATAGTAAGTATGACATCATTAGGAAGTGGTCCAAGGTTCTGCATCAGCACATACAATTTACGGATCAGTAGGACACTGGCTTTCTTAATATCTTCACTGTTTATCCCACTTTCAAAGCTTGTATTACTGCTGTAACCACATGAAAAAGTAGCATACTTCTCAATCATCATCAATATTGACAATCTCTTCCAAAAAGAACAAAACTTTTGACAATAATATCAAAAATGTAAATTAAACATCAGACATTTTTTCCTAGGTTTTTGCCATAGGGCCTTTGTGCTTGCCGGAGAGAGACAGAGAAAGGGAAAATGAGAAATCATTCCCTGGGGGAGGGTGGGGGGGCATGCTGCAATCCCCTCTCCTCCATTCTCCTCTCAGGACTTTGAGCACACATGCACATGTGCCCAGCAGAATTTTCAAGACATTAGGTCCAGGACTTGAATGGCCATCTGCCATGTGGGAGTCCAGAGCCCTAACCATCATGCCACTTGCTGACCCATGTCAAACATTTTTTTAGACTATTTTTAGAATATAAATTAGGGGAGTGATTGTTACTTTTTGCAGTGTTTATACAAAAAGATTTCTTAAGTAGTAAGTTCCCTTAAGGCATTTGAAGTACAACCTTATTATTTTATAAATCTCATTTATAAATAGCCACATGCCATAACAGAGAACAATGGATCTGAAATTAGGTGACCTAGCATCTAATATCAGCTCCGCTGCTAACTAGCTGAATGACCTCGGTCAAGTCACTTAGACACTCTTTAGGTCACTTCGCTCATTTGTGAGATAACCTTGCAGGTTTTACTACAGCTCTCCAAGTATAAAATCAATCACCAGCCCTGGGATTGTCTACCTTTTTTTTTTCTTAATGGTATTCTGTCCCCACTCTTGCATAGATTAGCACAGTGGCTATTTAATTATCCTTCCTGCTTTCCTTCTTGCACACTCTGAAGAACACTAGAGCTGAAATAATATTCCTAATAGGAAAATCTATTCATGTCACCTTCGGGCTTAAAATTCTTCTGTTACATTCGTCACTGTTCAATGGAATTCAAGGACAGTGTGTAGACACTGGTTTTCACAACCAGTCAGGCTCTCACCTCTGTCTTCATTTGCAGCTACTGCCCAGTTTCCTCTCACCACGTGCATTGGCATAGGCTGTTCACTTTGCTTGTATTGTGCTTTTCTCCTCTCCTTCCTGACTCTCCCAAATTCATCCCTTAATGCCCAGCTCATATGCCACCTCTTCTCTGATAATCCCCACAATTTACCCCACAGGAGTATTTGTCCCCTCATAGTGTGGCTGTGATGTGAATGGCTATAACTTTCATCTCCACAGCATTGAGTTTGGTGCCCAGCTATTCAGTAAACATTTGCTGAATTAATGAATGAATAAATTGGACTAAATAAACTTCCAACTCCAAACCTGTTTATTTCTCTCTGAAGTTTTCTTCCCTAATTAGTCTCACATGTGGGAGAAAGCACTATGACTGAAATATATTTGGACAGTGCCTTGCACATTCTACACACCCAATACTGGGAAATAATCCTAAGTAATTGAACTTTTGGGTTTTTCCCAAACTGGTATTTGGAGGTCGTGTGATTAACAACAGGAAACATTTATTAAATTAACACATGAGCTCCTTTTTCGATTCTTAACAACTTACAGTTTTGTCTACCAAGATTTAACCAGTTTGAATGCTGGTAACCAGAGTGAAAGTCTGTGGCTCATAGCTTATGGGATCCTCCAGGATACACCAGTAACATATTCAGGACTCCCAATTAAGCAAATGCCTCTCCTTGGTTTCTAGAAAATTATCAGTTAGTAATGTGCACTGCCTTCTTCCTCAGTATCTGAAAGATTAGGCCACTTCTGCTTTATTGCTTACCTCTCAACGTATGTGCCCTTAAGACAAAAGAGACTAAGCTGGTTATCAGTGGTACTCAGACTGAATTTTGAAAAGGCTAAAGAAACTCTTGATATGAGAAACTATTCATGGAAGTACTGCATAACCTGTAAAGTGCTATACAAATGTTATGTAAGGATAGTTAATATTTTAAATCTCATTTTGGGAGCCGACTTCCTCCTTGCATGTTAGTGAGATATGTAAGTTTTACAGATGAGAGGATAACTGAGGAAGTGAACCTTAGAAATTCTCAAGCTCGTGAGCGGTGAGCCAGAGATAATAGAGAAAATGAAAAGAGGCCGTGACTCTTCAAAGTCATTCCTCTCAGGGCACCTAGCTCAGCTCCTCTACTTGGAGCTCCCTGTCACGCGGGGCTTTTCACCATCGTCTTCGCCTTCCCCTTCTCTTCTATCTCATCAGCAAACTTAGCTCTCTATGCCTCCTGGCTGACCTGAATCCAAAAGCTACTGGGAGAGGGATGCTCCTCATTAAAACATCTCTATTAACACTAGGTTCCTTTTGAAGCAAATGTCCTTGTCTTAGCTATTGAACCCATTAGTATATTTAAAACTTATAGTTTTAGACTTGAGAGGTTAATGTTCATTAAGCAATTAGACTCTACCTTATCCATATAGAAACACACAGAGAAAATTATATTTGCATCACTACTGGAATAAGCAGATGAGAAGATTTGTGTAGTAGGCAAATAGTACAGAGGTTTTTATCTGCCTCAGGCCCAGTCTGGCTGTAGTGAGGGTGGAGAGGACCACTATCTTGGCATAGCAACTGAGAAACGTTGGTTTAATGGCTAGACAGAACCTTATGGAGTTCTATTAACACCATGTAAACAGCTTTGTTCATATAATTTTTATCTCTGTGTCTCCCACCACTGCCTCTACTCTCACCAGCTTAATTCATTAATTTCAGAAATATAAATAATTATTATAGTCCTTTTTTTGTTTTTTAGGTTTGTGCTATATGAGCTCACCAAAGAGAGACAGAGAGAGAGAGGAAAGGTGAGCAATCACCGCCCCCGCCCCCCCAGATTAGCCGTACCACAATCCCTTCTCCATTCTCCTCTCAGGACTTTTGTGGGCATTTGTGCACACGACATGTTTTTCAAGCTGCCAGGTCCAGGACTTGAACCACAGAATGAGCCATATGAGATCCAGCATCTTAATCTTTATCATACTACCTGCTGGCTCTATAGTCCTTTTTGTAAATAATTACTTTTTAGGTAAGATTTGTTGGGAAATTATTTTAAAAGTGTAAGACATTTCTTGGGTCTCAAGCAGCTTATGTTTTCCTCAGTCCTTTATATTTTTTCATGTTCATTAAACAATTAAATTCTACCTGTTGAAATCCATAGTGGCTCCGTCTTTTGTGTATTTGAATTTGAACTGGTATATCTCAGTCACTTTCTAGACAAAAAAAAACAAAAGGAATAAAGAAAAAAATTAATTTTAAAAAGAAACTCAGGGTCAGCTCTGGTGATGATTAAGGTGGCCAGATCCCACTTAGCCAACCTCATAGTTCAAGTCCCAGACCAAGCGGCTTGAGAAACACACTGGGCACACGTGTGTGTATGCCTGAAGTCCTGACAGGATGAAGAAAAGGAGAAGGGATTGAGGCATGATCATTCTCCATGAAGGGTGCTTCCTCTATTTTTGTCTTTTTGTCACTGGTGAGTGCACATGCACTCTGGCAAAATTTTTTTAAAAAGAAAAGAGGGCCCAGCAGGTGGCATACTGTTTAAGGTGCTGGACTCCCACAAGGCTGATCACGGTTCAAGTCCTGGACCTGGCGGCTTGCTTTCTCACTTTTCCTCTCTCTCTTTCTGTCTCTCTCTGATGAGCATAAAAAGAAATAGTAACTAAAATTAAATAAATAATTCTATTTTTTAAAAGAAATCCAAAATACTACTTGATAATAAATGAGGGACATTTTCATTGTATATCTACTGCACTTCTTACATACCTGTTTGTCCCACAGCATGACATTATTCAGAAGTAATATTTATAGATATAAAATCATTTCGTTTTTCTCCTCTATACTAAAAAGTGAGTTAGATGGCAAATACTATCATTATTTCTTTTAAAATTTTGATGGAAGGCACATGTACTCATCAGAGAGAGAGACAGAGAGAGAGGAAAAGTGAGAAAGTGCTCCTTATGGGGCGTGGCCAGGATGTAATCCCTTCTCCTCCATTTCTCTTTTCAGGATTTTGGGCAGACTGACACATGCACCCAGCATATTTTTCAAGCTACTGGGTCTGGTGGTGGCTATGTGGGATCCAGCCAACTCAACCACCATGTCACCAGCTAGCCCTGTCATTGCCATTTTAAAGCTTGAAAAACTAAGGCAGAGTCAAGTATCTGACCCAGCTAGGTAAATGGAAGTGGAGTCAGTTGAGAAATCATTCATTCATGTAATAAATATTTACTGAATGTCTACTTTGTGCCAGGCACTGGAGTCACAGTGGTGAACAAGACATTTTCTGGAACGTGTAGTCTCAGCGAGGAGATACCAGTATATAAGTAAACAAGTAAAATGAGGTATTTTCAGTACTGTGAACAAAATAAAGCTGAGCTGGCCCCATGGCCTGATGGCTAAGGCAGCCAGATTTCACATGGCTGACCATGAGGTCAAGTCTGGGACCCAGTGACTTGAGAAGCACACTAAGTACACATACATGCATGTCCCAAAGGGAGGGAGAGAGGGCGGAGAAGAGATTGCAGTTTGACAAGCCCAATAGGGGTGCTTTCTCCTCTCCCCCTCTCTCTCAGGTGAGCATAAGTGCCCTCTTGCGAAAAAGAAAAAAGGAAGAAAAGGAAAACAAAAAAGAAGGACACATTTCCTCATAAGAGATATACTTCATTTAAAATAAATGATTGTCTAGTAGTTGAAGCAATGTTTGGTCTGAATACATTGTACAGTTTATCCGTTGGAAGAAGGATGTTAAAGGATTAAGTTTAAGTAACAATACAAAAAAATACCCCTCATTCAATATTTGATCCCTGCCTGACATTGTGAGAAAGATGTTACAATAGACTGATCACAAAGAGTATCAGTGCTCCGTTACTTTCCTCTACCCTAAGATGTGGTCTCCCAGTTCTGCTCATCTTAAACCTTAACATACAAGTTAATCACTGGTGATCAGGCCCTGGGAAAATTGGCTCATACTGCCCAGACTTTAAGGAGACCTATCTGTTACGGACTTCATCTTAAAAGAAATCTTTTTCTAGCGAGACAGCCTACTTGAGAAATCAAAAAAGCGCCAGAAGGCTGTTTTGTGAACACAGAGAGATAGGTGAGATTAGAGGTGCCTGCAGGTACCTATGTAAAAGGTTCACTCCAGACATGCTAAATACCATGTCCTCTCTTAGCCATGCTGTGTGAAATTGTCCTGTGAAACAATGCCTATTCTTTCTGCCTATTCATGTTTCTCAGTGAACTCTGGCTTTTTGATGCTCTGAGTTATCTTTTCTATTTTAATGAATTATTTACTTATTATTATTATTTACATTTGCTATTAGGAATGCACTCACCAGAAAGAGAGAGTGAGCCAGCAGGTCTGAGACTCCAACCACAGCTGGCCACATGGGAATACAGTACCTTAACCATCACGCCTCCGACTGGCCCTGCTTTGAGCTTTTCTTTAATTGTATCGAGAGCAGATCCTTTAGTAGTTGATAAATTACACTTTTATAATTTTATCCCTGAAACAACTAATACGAAATTTATGTAAATTGAGCCAGCAGATGGGGTGGAGGTTAAGGCAGCTGGATCCCATATTGTCGACTGTGTAGTTTGAGTCCCAGACCCAGCAGCTTGAAAAAACACACAAGTGTGTATGTACCCAAAATCCTGAGAGGAAAATCGAGAAGGAACTGTGGCATGTACATTCCTGCAGGGGATTCTTTCTCACTTTCCCTTTCTCCGTCTCAGTCTGTCTCCAGGGAATACATGCACCCTATAGCAAAAATGTTTTTTAAAATATTATGTAAAGGGTAAGCAGGTGATGTAGTGGTTGAGGCACTGGACTACCACATGGCTGACTACAGTTCGAGCCCCAGACCTCACGGCTTGACAATCACACTAGGTGCATGTGCGTGCACACCCAAAATCCTGAGAGGAAAGTGGAGAAGAGACTGTGGCATGACTAGCCCCCGTAGAAAAACACGTCATGACTTTCCCTCCTCTGTCTCTCTCCAGCAAGCACACATGCCCTATGGCAAAAACCTTTAAAAAAAAAAGTTATGTAAATAGTTTTTTTACAAGGCTGGTCCTATGCACAGCAGTTAGGTGCCATGTATAAGATGCCAGATCCCACATGTCCATCTAGGATCAAAATCCAGCCCCAGTGACTTGAAAAACACACCAAGGATGATAATGTGTGTGCGCAAAATCCTAATGGAATGGAGAAAGGAAGGATAAAGGACGGCAGCATGACCACATCCCATGGGGAGGGAGTGGGGGTGGGGGACTTCTCTCTCTATCTCCCCCTGCCCCTCCACCCGCGAGTGCACCCTTTGTCAATAAAAGACAAAACAACACCACAAAAAAACGTGCCTTTTTAAAAAAGAAATAAAAATATTTTTTACAATTCTTTTATGGAAGGCACTAATTCTTAACAACTTAAAATTGATTCTTATTTGTGGAGAAGATATTGGGCTGTTGGGAAAGTCATGACGTGTTTTTCTATGCAAAAGTGCGTCATGACTTTTCAGACAACTCAATATTTACAGCAGGCACTAGTCTCTACACTTTATCAGATGATTTCCCGTTCTTCAGATGAATGTGCTACCTACTAAAGACGAGCCTTTAAACTACCCATCACTGGTTTCTAGTCATCATGCTGAGTATGCTCGCATAGACCAAAGTAACAGCGACACACACAGACTGTCTTGCTCCACATTTCAATCCACTGGTGAGACTTTCCAAGTTCATTTCTAGAGCAAATCACAAGTTCATCTGACATTTATTCTCTGTCCTCTAAAGAAGTTTTGAGGGACCAGTAGATGGCACAACGGTTACATGGCTGGACTCCCATGAGGTTGACAGTAGTTCAAGTCCCGGACCTGGTGGCTTAAAACAACACTGGTGCATGTGTGTGTGTGCCCTAACTCCCCAGAGGAGAATGGAGGAGAAGGGATTGTGGTGCGGCCATTCCCCCGGGGGGTGATTTCTCACTTTTTGTCTCTGTCTTTCCAGTGAACACACACTCCCTATAGCAAAATAAAAAAAGAATTTTTGAAAACATAAATCAGACCATTTGACTCCTTCGATAAACTACCCCCTACACACACACACACACACACACACACACACACACTGGCTTCCCACTACCCTTAAAGTAAAATCCAGAAGTTATCTTGGTCAGCAATGTCCTACTAAACTGTCCCCTGCCTACCTCTCTAACCTATCTCCTGCCACTTCCTCACCCACTCACTTGATGCCAGGTTCACGGCACATTTTTACCCACAAAAACTCAAAATTCCATATTGCCTTATAGCCTTTGCACAGCTAATCTCTGGAAAATGTCTCCAGTTTATCCTTCTCCTTCTTTTTCTTTCCTTTCTTCTTTCTTTCCCTTTCTCCTTCCTTCCTTTCTTTCTTTCTCTTTCTTTTTTTCCTTCTTTCCCTTCCTTCTTTCTCTTTCTTCCTCCCTCCCTTCCTTCCTTCCTTCCTTTCTTCTTTTTGTTACTAGAGGGTGTATGTGCTTGCCATACAGGTGAGGGTGGGCAGAGAGAGAAAGCACCCCTGAAAGGGACATAGTCATGCATAATCCTTTTTCCATTTCTCCATTTAATCAGGATTTGGGGCACACACATATGATGCCTGACATGCTACTGGAGCTGGAATTTGAACATAGATGGGCATGTGGGTCTGGCTTCTTATACATGGCACCTAACTGCTGTGCTACAGGACCAGGTAAATATTAACTTTGTTATTGTTTGTGCAATTTTGTGTAGGCAAAGACATACTTCTCTGGATACGACTCAAGAAACATGGCACACTATCGGATAAATACCAAAGTCCATGTTTATGTGATAATGTTGTTTTGTGAGTACTTACTAGAATGAGATCAGAGAGGTAAATAGTTACATTGGCCACTTGATGTTAAATAGCAATCATAAAACAGTGTAACCCTCTTTTAGGTAGTATGAAACTGCTATGCCTTTGTAATAGTTACACTGTAATTGTTGCTGACTTCTTTGTTGTTTTAATAGGATAGAGGGGTCCTCAACCCCCAGGGCCATGGAACAGTACCAGTCTATGGCCTGTTGGCTCCCTATCCCCGCCATACAAAGAGGAATGGTCAGCGGGCAAGTGAGGCTTCGTCTGTGTTTGCAGCCACTTCCTATTGCTCGCACTGCTGCCTAGGCCTTGCCTCCTGTCAGATCAGTGGTGGTATTGGATTCTCATGGGAGTACAAACCCTACTGCTGTGTGATTGTTTCACTGTATATTGTAATATGATGGTGGTGAAAATGGGGTGCACCGTGAATATGGTGTGCTTGGGTCATACTGGGACCACCTCCCTCTCCTGTCCATGGAGGGTTTGTCTTCCACGAGGCCAGTCCCTGGTGCTAGGAAGGTTGGGGACCACTGATTTAATACTCTCAAATATGCTACCAAATTTTTAGTAATCAAGTATGCCATGAACACACAGAAGTTAAGGGTTACTACTAAAAGGAACCATCTGTTAACCTTAAAATTATTTTTTCTTGAGTCATAATTGATAACTCAGAATTTACCATTAACAATCTTGTGTTTCCTAACTCAATTATAATATTTGCCTACACCAAACTTTAACAGTTTTCTTCCTACTCTAAGATTTTTTTTTTTTTTGTAGTTAAGCCCAATTTGCTCAGCATTTCACTATTCTAAAAACCACTGGTTTCAAACTAGGAATTTTGCATTCGTTAAAAAACATAACACTGAACTAAGTAAATAACTGGGCCAACCAGTGATGTGGTGGTTAAAGTGACTTGATTCCCACATGGCCAGTGGTATGGTTCAAGTCCAAGACCTGGCAGCTTGAAATATATGCCAGACATGTGTGTGTATGTGTTCAAAATCTTAAAGGAGAGATAAGAGAAGGGATTGTAGTGTGACCACTTCCCATGAGGGATGCTTTCTTACTTTCCTTCTCTCTCTCTGTCTCTCTCTCTCTGTCTCTCTCTCTCGTTTTCTGTCTCCCATTGAGTGCTCATGCCCTCTAGCAAATTTAAAAAATAATAACCAACTTACTCACAATTTATCAACAGGTTTCAATTTGGAAAACTTCTTCTCAAATCTAACAAAAAAGAATTTTAAAACTAAACAAGAGGTGGGACCAGCAGTTGGAGTAGTGGCTATGTCGCTGGACTCCCACATAGTCGACCACGGTTCGAGTCTCAGAACCTGGTGGTTCAAACTCATGCCGGACGCGTGTGCGTGTGTGCCCAAGATCCTGAGAGGAGAATGGAGGAAAGGGGATTGCAGTGTGGCCAAGGGGTGATTTCTCACTTTCTGTCTCTCTGTCTCTCTGTCTCTCTCTGTCTTTCTGGCGAGTGTACACGCCTATAGCAAAAACCTCCTAAAAAATAAAAATAAATAAAAATAAACAAAAGACAAGATAAAAAGAGGTAGAATTAGTCTGGGCATTGAATAATTGCTACCCACTATTTTCTTCCCTTTGCTTAAACAGCTATTTGTAATCTTGCAAAGAAAGGATACCAAGAGCTCAAAATGCTTGCTTTAGTCTTGAATACTATCAGTTAGGCTAAATCCATAGGCTTAGAGAAAGAAAATTGAAAAGCGAGGGAAAACAAAACAAACTGAGAGGAAGACAAAGAGATAGAATGAGAAGAAAGAACAGAGGGCTTCTTCCTCCATTTCTGTGCCAAAGCCATTCAAAATGGCCAAGTAACTATTATATGCTGCTAGAAAAGTCATTGAGAGAAGAAACAAGTTAATGTAGACAGAATAGCCAAAGAGGTGTCCATGAAAGATCCAAACATGAGTTGGCCTTGAGGAGAGTAAGATACACTAAGCAGAGGAAAGCGATCTAGAGAGAAGTAAAAAGGTAAAACTCTGAATATTTACAAAAGATGAGAAAGGGAGAATTTTATTGGCAACAAAAGTTTAGTTATACAATACTTCATTTATTTTTCTCAAAAGCCATAAGTAGAAATGATTCGCAATCAGTGAAAAATAAAGAGTAAAATGTGTTTTTTTATATATTTATGCATGGAGTCTTAATGCTAAAATTTCAGGGAACAGTCTCAGTTTTACCCGATGTCCACCCCCAATACAATACTCCTAGAGAGTTTTTGAAAATCTCAATAGGGGTGAACAGATGGCATGATGGTTAAGGTGCTGTTCTCCTAAATGATCAACTCTGCTGTTTGAGTCCTGGACTTAGTGACTTGAAAAATATTCTGGGAGCACAAGTCAGTAGATGGCATGGTGGTTAAAGAGCTGGACTCTAACATAGTTGACTGCAGTTCAAATACTGGACTTGGCAACATACTTTCTCACTTTCCTTTTTCTCTCTCTGTATTTCTTTGGTCAAATTTTAAAATTAATAATAATAAATAAAATTAAATACATAATTCTTTAAAAAGAAAAATATGCGTAGCACATGTGCATCCATGTCCAAAAATCTCAAGAGGAGAACAGAGGAGATGGAATTGTGGTATGGCCATACCCCCAGGGCAGGGGTTGATTTCTCACTTCCCTCTTTCTCTCTGAGTGCGTGTGCCCTCTGGCCAAAAATTCTTTTAAAAAATACACACAAACACACAGACGCACATTAAAGAACTGACTATAAAACAGGTACTCTGCTCATATAGTAGTATAGTAACACAATCTATAGCCTCAACTCAGGTAAACATATTTAAATATAATATACATATACTTCCCACCTATGTGTATGTCTTCTTACCTCAGGTTCCTTAGGATTTTTGTAAAGCTGTTTAATAGAAAATAAACATCATTCAATTTCTGAAATTTACTAGATTTCTCCTCATAGAATACATTTCTTATATAAAGAATTCAATGTGCGCTCTATTGAGTGTTGACATGTATTTTAAGCTAGAGATAGCATAACTTCTTATTTTATGAACATAAGAGAGGTTTCAGAGTTTCCTGTGAACACTGAATATAAGGAGATTGATAATAAAATATTTATATCTATTGCAACTGAGCTATAAATAAATTCTAAATAATTTTTTGTGGTTTGAAATTTAAAAACATAAATCATATATCCAAGACTCTCAATGGTACCTTCTCATTTTCTTTCTGTTCTCAGTTATATACACATTATACCCAGAGGTATACAAACTAAAAAAATATAATAATAAGTTTATAAAACTACAGAAACGACAAAAAACACTGGGCCAGCAGATGGTGGGGTAGTTAAGGCACTGGACTTCTACACGGCCAACCTCAGTTCAAGTCCTGGATCTTGTTTTCTCACTTTCCCTCTCTCTCTGTCTTTCTCTAGTGAGTGCACATGCCCTATAGCAAATTAAATATTCATATTAATAATAATAATTAAACTTAAACAAATATTTTTAAAACTTTGAGACTGTAAAGGAAGTAAAAAAAAAAGAAAGAAAGAAAAAAGAAAGAAAAACTATTGAGAGCCAGTAGATAAAGCAGATAGGATATCCTAATTTTCATATAATATAGAAATATATCATTTGTAACTTTTATTAAAACTTCTGATAGATCCTATGTTTTTAAAATTCCAGAATGGCATAAGACAGTTAAAATCAGAAATAAGGGCTAGAGCACTGTTTTAATGCTTCACTTGCCAAAAGACAATGTAGAGACAGAGGCTTCATCTTTAAAAGTGTACTTACTGTAAGAACTGCCAAGTGTAGCTTCAAGAGAAAGGAAAACTATTGTTATTATATCATTGTAACTATATAATTGTTATTTTAAATAGAAACTAATTAAAATAATATTTTAGAGAAATTCCAAAGATTTGTTTAAAAATATTACTCAGAGGTAAGAAAAAGGAATACTAATTATTATTTCACTCAAATAAGTACCTATTATATACATAGGGCTCTGCTGGAGAGAATACAAAAAAGGAAAATAACTACTCAAAAAGTAACATACAGGGGACCAGCAGTGAGTGTAATGGCTATGTCACTGGACTCCCATGTAGTTGACCGCAGTTCGAGTCCCAGACTCAGTGGCTTAAATTCATGCCAGGCGTGTGTGCGTGCATGCTCAAGATCCCAAGGGAAGAATGGAGGAGAAGGGATAGCGGCGTAGCCATCCCCCCTGGGGGATGATTTCTCACTTTCTGTCTCTCTGTCTCTCTCTGTCTTTCTGGTGACCGCATGCACCCTATAGCAAAAAAAAAAAAAAAAAAAATCTCAAAAAAAAAAAAAAAAGAAAAAAACGGAGCCAGCAGATCACCAAAAAAAAAAAAAAAAGTAACATACGGGACCAGCAGATGGCATAATGGTTACATCACTGGACTCTCACATAGTCCCACACAGTTCTAGTCCCAGACCTGGCGACTTAAAACTCATACCAGGTGCTTGTGCCTGCATGCCCAAAATCCCCAGAGAAGAATGGAGAAGGGATTGCAGCATGCCCATCCCCCCTAGGGGATGATTTCTCGCTTTCTGTCTCTCTGGCAAACACATGAGCCCTATAACAAAAATCTCTCTCTCTCTCAAACCAAAAAATACTAAGGCCAGCAGGTAGCATGGTGGTTAAGGTGCTGGACTTCTACATGGCTGACCATAGTTCAAGTCCCAGATCTAGCGGCTTGCTTTCTCACTTTCCTGCCGTGTTTCTCTCTTTCTCGCTGTCTCTCTATGGTGAATGCACATGCCGTATAGCAAATTTTTAAAATACATAATACTGGGACCAACGGATGGCATAGCAGTTATGTCACTGGACTCCCACATGGCCAACTGCAGTTTGAGACCCAGGCCTGGTGGCTTGAAGATCATGCTGGTTGTATGTACGTGCATGCTCTTATATCTCAGGAAGAGAATGAAGAAGTAATTTACAGTATGGCCATCCTCCGTGGGAGATGATTTTTCAGTTTATCCCCTTCCCCCCATCTCTCTTCAGTGAGTGTGTGTGACCTCTGACAAAATTTAAAAAATAGGGGACCAGCAGGTGGCATGGTGGTTAAGGCACTGGCCTACCGCGGTTCGAGTCCTGGACCTGGTGGCTTGCTTTCTCACTCCCCCACCTCCCTATATCTCTCTCTGGTCAAATTAAAACAAATGAGTGGATAAATACTAAATAAATAATTATTTAAAAAAATAAATAAAATTTCAAAAACAAAATAGAGATATCATTAAGCCAATGATATTTTTTTCTTTTTTTTTAAGAGAGAGATTTTTGTTATAGGGTGCAAGCGCTCGCCAGAAGACATAGAAAAGGAGAGACAGAAACCAAGTAATCATCCCCCAGTGGGGAGGGCCACGTTGTAATCTCTTCTCCTTCAGTCTCCCTTCAGGATCTTGGGCACACAGGCACACATGCTCTGTGTGAGTTTTAAGCTGTGGAGTCTGGAAATTGAACCGCGGTTGATTACGTGGGAGTCCAGCGACATAACTATTATGCCATTTGCTGGCCCCAAAGATAAATATGTTTTTAAAAAGTCAATACAAATCAGAAAATCTCAGAACTGTAATTTCATATCGAAGAACTAAAACTTTAGTGACACCGTGTGGCTACTTTGGTTATGGCATCTAAATGATTTAACACTACACAGTGAAATTCTAGTTTATATTAATTACTTAATTAATACTCCATTCATTCATTCATTAGTAAAATAAGATTCCTGATCTCAGGGAACATGTAGACTGGAAGGGGAGACAAAATTAAATTTATAAAATATCAGTAGCAGATAGCTACATCATTATAATAAGTAAACTGCTATAAAGAAGCAACACCAGGCATTAAACAGTGATGATCTAGGCTAGGGAAGGGGAGTATCAGGGAAGGGCTCCTTGGGAAGTACATATTTAAGCTGAGATATACAGAGTACAGCAGAGGGACCAGCAGTTGGCATAATGGATATGGCGCTGGACTCCCATGTAGTCAACCACAGTTCGAGTCCCGGACCCGGTGGCTTAAACTCACACCAGGCGCATGTGGGTGAGTGCCCAGGATCCCGAGAGGAGAATGGAGGAGAAGGGATTGCGGCTGGAGGAGGGAGGTCCGCGTGGCCCTCCCCCTATGGGGGGGGGGGTGATTTCTCACCTTCTGTCTCTCTGTCTCTCTCTGTCTTTCTGGCGAGTGCATGCGCCCTATAGTTAAAAAAATAATTTTTTTTAAAGTACAGTAGAATTAGATAAGCAGATTGTATGGGGTACAGGAGAGAATTTTCCAGGCAAAAGGAACAACATATGTAAGAGTAAAAGGAGCTTGGCATATTCTATAATCCTTATATGTCTTGAACATAGGAGTGAGAGTCACATTTTGGAAGGATGAGTATAACAACAGGCCTTACAGATCACGTAAGGACCTGAACTTTATCTTTACAGCCCTGGAGGCCCAGCCATGGTGGTGCAGTGATGGCATGCTACTCTGTGACAGTCATATGGAAGAGTGGACTCTGGCTCCTGGATGGTACGCAGCAGACATGCATGTGTGCCCATGATCCTTACTGGTTGAGGCTGAATCATGGAGGGATCTTGGCATGACGGGGGATCATGGCATGAAGAATCTTTTGGGGGTAATGACCTGTGTCTCTGTTTCTTTTGTGGAATAAATAAATAACTTTTAAAAAATCTCTGGAAGGACCCAGCAGATGGCATGGTGGTTAAGGTGTTGGACTCCCACATGGCCAACCGTGGTTTGAATTCCAGACTTGGTGGCTTGAAAATCACACAGTGTGTGTATGCATGCATACCTAAAACCCCAGGAGGAGAATGGAGGAGAAGGGACTGCAGCATGGCCATCCCCCTGGAGGATGATTTCTCACTTTCCCTTTCTCTTTCTCTGTCTGGTGAGTATAATTGCCCTATGCCCTATGGCAAACACACACACACACACACACACACACACACACACACATACACACACACACACTAAAAATAAATAAACTAAAAATAAAGATTCCTTGAAAAATTTTAAGTAAAAAAATGACATGATCAGACTTAGGTTTCTTAAAGAATGCAGTGTGAACAGTGAGTTGGAAAAGGTAGGGGATTGAGAATGGGAATAAGGATACGAGTTAGATAGCAATATACAATATAGTCTCTTTTTTATATGAATTATCTGAAAGTACATACATATATTTATTTGAAAGAATTCAAGCACAGTACAAAGTACAAAGAAAACAATGAAAAATAAAAAACACTCAAAATTTGAGCCAGCCAGCGATGTGGTGGTTAGGTAGCTAGATCTTACATGGCCACGTGCACAGTTGGAGTCCTGAACCTCATAGCTTGAAAAACATGCTGGGCACGGGTGTGTGTGTGTGTGTGTGTGTGTGTGTGTGTGTGCATGCCCAAAAGTTCGAAGAGAAGGAAGAAGAAATTGCAGCATGGCCACTCCCCCACCCCCTCCAGGGAGTGTTTTCTCACTTCCCCTCTCTCTCTCTCTCTCTCTCTCTCTCTCTCTCTCTCTCCAGTGGGTGTATGTGCCCTATAGCAACTTAAAAATAATGTTGCTTACTATTGGATCACTGGGAAAATCATGATGCATGATTTTTGCATAGAAAAACTTTGAAAAAAAAGTCATGGCTTTCCCAATAATCTAATAGAAGTAATCCTCTTGGTTCAACTGGAGAACATTTTTCCAGATCTCAGAGATTCAAACTTGACTTTACTCAAACAATTATACTTTTTTTAAAAGAATATTTTTATTTATTATTATTATTTTCCAGTTTGATCAGAGAGAGAGTGAGAAAGCAAGCTACCAGGTTTGGGACTCGAACTGTGGTTGGCCATGTGGGAGTCCAGCACTTTTAACCACCACACCATCTGCTGGTCTCCCAAAGAGTTATACTTTTTTTTTTTTTTGAGAGTTTTTTTTTTTTTTTTTTTTCATACGGGCACTGGTTGAGCCCGGGCTTTTGCTATAGGGCACGTGTGCTGGCCAGAAAGAGAGAGACAGAGAGACAGAAAGCGAGAAATCATCCCCAGGGGGGATGGCCACACCACAATCCTTTCTTCTCCATTCTCTTCTTAGGATCTGGGGCACACATGTACATACGCTCAGCATGAATTTAAGCCACCGGGTCTGGGACTTGAACCACATTCGACTACCTTGGAGTCCAGCAACATAGTCATTACACTAACTGCTGGTCCCAAACAATTATACTTTTAAAACATTTCCTGCTAGCAACAAGATCACCTGAGAAAACTTATAAAATATAAACCAAAGCACAAAATAAATACTATTTACCTAAGCACTAACTCAACTACTTAAGGCTTTGTCTTTTGATCTCCTTAACACAATTATTTGATTGAGTCAGCCATACAGGAATAATTTAGTGAAATAAACTCAGTAAAACTAGCTAAAATTATTTGTACATTAAATTGTTATTTTAATACATGTAATGTAATAACTTATTTGAGAAGTGACTCCTTCTATTAAAACTGACTGCCTTAATGGGAGAAATTATATCTTACTTTAATTTTTATCTTATCCATTGGTGAGGCATGATGTCTGGGACCAGGACTCAAACTGCAGTTGACCAGGTGAGAGTCTAGTACCTTAACCACTACACCACCAGCTGGCCCCAGACATTTGTATTTTAACAAGTCCTGCCAGTGATTTTGATGCAAGCTAAAGTTTAAAAACCACTGCTATAGATTATTAACTCATTTAATGCTCAACCCACAGAAGCTCTATTATTATCCCCATTTTATATGTAAAGAACTAAGGTAAAAGAGGTAGGTTATTTGTTCAAGATCACACAGGTAACAAGGGACAGAACTGGGATTCACTTCAGACTGACTCCAGAATTCAAGTTGTCAACTATATTGTGCTGTCCCTCAATGATGGACACACAAAAATGTTGCTAATTGTATGGATGAAGAAGAATGAATGAGCACTGTTTGGTCTGCCAATACTGACCTTCTCTCCCTTTCAATCTGTCCACATACTCAAGGCCTTCAAAGTCCTAGGAGTTTTCTCTCCAAGATTTCCATCCTGGGTATAGGTAGGCCCTTCTTTTCTACACTTCCCATGCACATGATCAGTATCTTTCTTTTGGCATGCACCAATTTCTAATGAATATTATGCTGACTTATACTTGTGATAGGGTGATGTTCAAAATATATTTATTTATAAAAATATCAAACTTATATGGAAAAAAAAAACAACAACAACAACAACATTCTTTAAAGGCCAGTATGACACAGGTATTGACCAGGCAGGAAGAATGCCAACTCAGTCCTTGAACTGAGTTCCTGGATTAAATTAAACCCTTATACCAGGTGTTAATTTATTAGTTGCTGGATTTTGGAACAGTCTAGGGAGACTGGTGGAGTGAAAGAGAGAATATTGGGAGTGGGGTTACACAGGGTCTTAGAAAAGAAACTATTTACCACTCAATACAGAAATATTGCAATATTTTAACAGGCCGGTGTGTAATAGCTGATCATCAGCCCGGCACGTGAATAGCTCTCATCTTCTGCCCTGATCTATAAACTCTTCCCCTTATCTGTTTTGTTTTTATATCCTTCAGACCCCCAGATCAGTGTTGAATAAATCATAATACATGTTCAGTGAAAAGAGAAATGTGTAAATGTATTAAACAATCCAATGTAAGACTTACCTCAAGATATCTTAAAAGAATAGAAATTGAGAAGCAGTAAAAATAAGACACAGAAACAGTGGGGAAAACAGTGGTAGAAATTTCATCTGTGTAAGTCTTGTCTCCTCACTTAGGACTAGAGCCTCCATTTTTTCACACCTTCCATGGCTGTCTTAAGCAACATAAAAGATGAGCCTAACACAGTTAAACATTTAAGCTGTTTTTCTTAAAAAGTTCAAGGTATAATACCAGCACATAAACCAATTACCAAAGTGACTAAGATAGAATAAAAGCTGATTATTCAAGTCCGTTTTCCTTTCATATCTTCAAATTGAACCACTACTATTTTAAACATGTTCAATGTACTAAATGCCAGATTCTTGTCTCCCCTGTCCCACATCCTGTGGATCTCTTCCAGTGACTTCAGAGGAAATTATGTGGTCAAAAAGATATGAGTATCTAAAAGAGAAAAATGAGGGTTTCATTTCTAATTGATGTAAAGGAGACATCAGTGGGACAATGAAGACATTAAAGGAAACTGGTTTATAAATGCAAATATAGGCACTAGTATACTGCTAAATACAATAACAAAACAGAAGTCTAGACTTCCTTTTTTTTTAAGAAAAGACAAATCTTTGATCCTGGTGTTAATTTAAAAAACATTCTTACGTATCTCTTTTCCAAAGCATCAAAACAACCTTGAATCCTGTCAGAAAAATAAAAGTTTGATGTCAATTTGGGCCAGATGCAAAGTCAAAAAATTTTTCAAATGCAGAATTAGTTTACGATTTTTTGCTTTGAAGTACATTAAATGCATAACCATTTCATCTTTCCCATTTAATCATTTTTTTAAAAAAACTTCCAGTATATCTTAGTACATTGATAAACTTCTATAAATAATAGGTAATCAATTTCTAAAATAATTATTTAATTTTTATTATTATTATAATTTTTTTAAATTTGACCAGAGAGAGACAGAGACAGAGGCAAGCTGCCAGGTCTGGGACTTGAACTGTGGTCAACCATGTGGATGTCTAGCACCTTAACCACCATGCCACCTGCCAGCCCTAGAAAACAATTTTGAGGTAGGAAGCCACTATTTTTGACTCCCATAGTGTCTAGTACATTGACATACATATGATGAATAATCAAATTTTGATTGACATTTGTTATCTTTATAAAAGTCCATTTTCAGAACCAGTAGATGGCATAATGATTATGTCACTGGACTCCCACATAGCTGAACACTGTTCAAGTCCCAGATCCAGCAGCTTGTAACTCATGGACCCTTGTGCTTGCATGGCCAAATCTTGAGAGGAGACTAGAGGAGAAGGGACTGTGGCATGGCCATCCCCTGGGGGGGGATTTCTCACTCTGTCTCTCTAGTGAGCACACACACACTATAGCAAAAATCTCTCTCTCAAAAAAGGAAGTCCATTTTCTTTTAAAACAAAATGGAATCAATCTCTTTTTTTTCTTCAGAGTTTTGCTATAGGGTATATGTGCTCCCCAGAGAGACAGAGACAGAGACAGAAAGCAAGAAATCACTCCCTAGAGGGGATGGCCACACCACAGTTCCTTCTCCTCCAGTCTCCTCTGGGGATTTTGGGCTTGCATGCACATGCACCTGGTGTGAGTTTCAGGCTGCTGGGTTCGGGACTCAAACCATGGTCAACTATGTGAGAGTCCAGCAACGTAACCATTAAGCCATCTGCTGGTCCCACTAAGTCAATATCTTAAAATAATATTGAATAATCATTATAAATAGTTAGGAAATACTTTTTTATAGTCCAACCTTTATATTTTGTTCACTTAAACATACTTACACAGTTTGTATAGTTCCAGGCTCTGTTTTAAGAGTTAGTTTTTTTGTTTGTTTGTTTGTTTTTTAGATTTATGCCATAAGGGCCTGTGTATTCATCAGAAAGGGAAAGTGAGAAATCGACCTCCAGGGGGATGGGCATGTCACAATTTCTTCTTTTCTATTCTCCTCTTGGGATTTTGGGAACATATGCTCACATGCCTGGCATGATTTTCAAGCTGCTCGGTCTGGGACTCAAACTGCAACTGGCCATGTGGGAGTCCAGCACCTTAACCACCACACCACCTGCTAGACCCTTTAAGAGCTTTTACCTTTTTTATTTTTTAATTTTTAATTTTTTTTTTTTTTGGAGAGGTTTTCTCTATAGGGCGCGTGCGCTCGCCAGACAGACATAAAGAGACATAGAGACAGAAAGCGAGAAATCACCCCCAGGGGGAATGGTCACGCCGCAATCTCTTCTCCTCCATTCTCCTCTCGGGATCTTTGGGCATGCACGCACACACGCCTGGCATGAGTTTTAAGCCACCGGGTCCAGGACGCAAACTGTGGTCGACTATGTGGGAGTCCAGTGACATAGCCATTATGCTAACTGCTGGTTCCCTTATTTTTTGCTTTTTTAAAAATAATTATTTTATTTAACTTTATTTATTTATTTATTTTTTAATTTGACCAGAGAGAGGAAGAGAAAGGGAGAAAGTAAGAGAACAAGTCGCCAGGTCTGGGACTTGAACTGCAGTCAGCCATGTGGGAGTCCAGCATCTTTAACCACCACAACACCTACCAGCCCCACTTTAAGAGCTTTTAAAAAGTGACTCATTAACTCTCATAGAACATCCCATAAGTTAGGTGCTAATATTCTCCCTGTTTAGATAAAAGCAGTGAATACAGAGAAGTTAAGTAACTTGCCCCAAGTGGCACAGTAGGCAATGGCAGAGTCAGATCTGGAATCCACTAAGCTGATCCTAGAGTCTTTTCTCTTCCTCCTTTCTCATAATCCTTTATTATTGATTAGAAAATTATAGATTTACTGAGGGACCAGCAGGTGGCATGGTGGTTGAGGCATTGGACTTTCACATGGCTGACCACAGTTTAAGTCCCAGATCTGGTAGCTTGTGTTCCCACTTTCCCTCTCTCTCTCTCTCTCTCTCTGGTGAGCACATGTATACTATGGCAAATGGAAAAATAATAACAATGATAAATAAAAATAAATCTTTTTAATTAAAAAAAGAAAATTATAGATTTACTTTTTTTTTTTTTTTTTTTTTTTAGATTTTTGCCTGGGGTTGGGTGAGGAGGGAAGAGACAGACACAATGAGAAATCACCCAGGATGATATCTCCATTCTTTTCCTCCAATCTCCTCCTGGGATCTTAGGCATGCATAGCACACGGGCTCTGCATGATTTTGAAGCCACCAGGTCCGGGACTTGAATGCACCGTGGCTGGCCATGTGGGAGTCCAGCACCTTTAACCACCACACCACCTGCCAGCCCTAGATTTACTTCTTATTAGAATTTAGACCTGCAAAACTTGGCATAAGAAAACTGAACTTATTAGAAATAATAACCACAAAGAAAACTCAACAATGGCAAAAGTTAAAATCAGTAGTCTGATAGAAATGATTTAATAATTTCTAGTAATCTGCATAAAACAAGCTGATTGTAGAGAAAACAATTTATTGGTGACCACTACATGTTGGCTGGCACTCTGTCCCAAGTTATCTTCACTCTGAGATCCAAGTAGCCACTAATGGACTTGATAATCTGAGACTCAGTGAGTAATGAAGATTGGAGGTTTGTGCAGCTCATGATTCTAGTGGCTGGAAAGTCCAAAAGGAGGGAGCCAGCCAACAGAATCAGGAAAGTCAGCAGGTGGTGCAAATGAAGAGAGTCTGACCTGTGGGCAGTCATTTTGCATAACAAGGAAATAACTTTTAAAAAAGAAAGGAAAATAGGCCAGCAGGTGGCATGGAGGCTAAGGCACAGGATCCCACATGGCCAACAACATACTTCAAGTACCAGACCCAGTGTCTTGGAAATCAAGCCAGGTGCACATGTGTGCATACCCAAAATCCCAAGAAGAGAATGGAGGAAAAGAGACTGTGTTATGGTCATCTCCTATCACCCCTAGGAGATGATTTCTCACTTTCTCTATCTCCCTCTCTCTCCCTCCCTCCCTCCCTCTCTCTCTCTCTCTCTCTAGCATATGCAAGCAAAAACTAAAGGAAAAAAGAGAAAAAAGAAATGGCGTTCAGAAAATGATGTTACCAAATAAAGTCTTATGGGTAATTTCATGCATGACCAAAATAATGTTGGTCAACTTCTGTGGAATTTCAGTTACTTACCACTTGATAATATGCAGTGACCCAGGACACTTTTTGTCTTCTCGGAGGATTTTTATACTGAGATCTATAAAAACAGAAACAGCCTATTTTAATGGCTACTATACTGAAATTATTCATGCTAAATAATTTATTTTAATTATATAACTTATTTAGTTTTATAGTTTATATAAATATTTGAATCTTTAAATATCTACTTTAAAAATAAATCCAATATTGATAATTAGCTTAGTCTCAATTTTGATTATAGTTTAGCAGTCTTCCCCTTCTACAATGTAGCACAACTAAACTGGTTGCAAAATCATTTTATGTCACTTTGCTTCTGTTGACTTCAAGAAATCAGAAGGTAGTATTAACACCATCTCAGATGACCAATTTAAGACATATACCTCAATGTTAGTCATTTCTTGTTATTTCTGTCTCAGTAGAGAAAACAAAGAATAAAAAAATTTTCACATGGCTTATTCTCAAATAATTATTTCCACCTGAAATTCAACTACCTTTCTATATTTAGAGAGGACAGGAAGAGCATAGTAAAAGAATTTTACTTCAGATAGTCCATGATTAATCACTGATGCATGTGTGATCTTGCATGAATCACTTCACCTTTTTATATTGTTTTCCTATCCTGAAATAGATGTTATATTTACATCTATTGAGGGATATGAAAATTATTATATAATGGTATAACATTGAAAGAGTATCAAAAGACAATGACAGGGACCAGCAGTTGGCGTAATGGCTATGTTGCTGGACTCCCATGTGGTCGACTTCGGTTCGAGTTCTAGACTGGGTGGCTTAAATTCACACCGGGCGCATGTGCATGCGTGCCCACCCAAGATCCCAAGAGGAGAATGGAGAAGGGATTGTGGCATGGCCATCCCCCCGGGGGATGATTTCTGTCTTTCTGTCTCTCCGTCTCTGTCTTTCTGGCGAGTGCATGCGCCCTATAGCAAAACCCTCACAAAAAAAAAAAAAAAAGACAATGACATATGGGTATTGAGCATTTTAAAGATATGTATTACTTTAAGGATAAACATTGAGAGGGAGGCATATAACTTCCACTGTAACTGTCACAATAATTAAAGCTACAAGGTATGATATTACCCCCACGCTTCAGGGTAGTGATTGGCACACAATAAGTGCTTACTTACCCAAAACATGTATTTTAAACTCTACTTTCCAAACAGAGGGGAAGTTGCAACTATATGCTACATATAAACATTAGATATTACAAAGTTATATCCCATAGACCAAAAGAGGTCATAATACAAATGAGGTTGTCATGATTGAAAATATTATGTTTATGTATTTATAGCACACATGCATTTCACTGATACACAGAGAATCAAATGATTGATTGCTTAAAATTAAATTGGAATGCAGCCAAGGTATATCATTACATACAGCCATGAGAATTTTAAAATTATATTCTGAAAACTAGCATCTTACAAAGAAAACTGTAGCTCTCTATATTTATTTTCCTAATGATAGCTCCCACTTTAGTGACAAATCAACAAGATTCATAATCTAGCTTTTTAAATAAATAGTAAGATTTAGAAAAATTAGAGTCCCAGATAACATTTTTCTTAATATAAGAGATGAAAAAGAACCAGAAAACAGCTTGTAATGTAAGGTTTTTAAAGATAATAGAGAAATGTAAGAGCACAAGAAACAAAAGGAGTAGAAGTAAGAAAGTTAGGGACCAGCAGGTGGCATGGAAATTAAGGTGCTGGATCCCACATGGCTTACTCCACAGCTTGAGTCCCAGAACACAGGTCGCTTGAAGATCATGCCAGGTGTGTGTTGAGTGCATGCTCAGGATCTAGAGAGGAGGATGGAGGAGAAGGTACTATAGCGTGACCATCCTCCAGGGGGTGATTTCTCACTTTCTCTCTCTCTCTCCCCGTGTCTCTCTCTCTCTCTCCCCGTGTCTCTGGTGAGAGCATGCACCACAAAAACTAAGTTTAATTGAGGCACAAAATAGTATCAATCAACAACATTCAAATGGATTTTGATCTGGCCATTGCTTTTATAGATATAGCTTAGAATTACTGGGCTTGCCCAGACAGATTTCTTTTTTCCTCAATCTGTCATTTGGTATCTAGCCAGCAACTAATGGTTCCTATAAGTAAAACCACTAAACATAGTGAAATTAAAATGGAAAATGGACTAGCAAATTGGTCTTGAAGAATAGGCCTGTAAGTTGGAATCTGTACACTCTGTAAGAAACAAAAGATTTCCTCCTGCTAAATAGAGAAAAGGGCTACAACAGCCAGAGTAACCATTCAGTTAAACTTTACCATTCAAATGGCGTTCTCCATATGAGCTCTCTGGAAACAGACCCCTCAGATATGTTATACATGAGATGGACGTAGCAAACAGTTTCTTCACCATTATCAGTGACTGTTCCTCATTAGTGATTTGAGATGGGAAAACCGTTTCCTAGGGGGAGTGGGACAAAAAAAAATTAGTATTCTTTAATAAGTCAACCCATCACAATATTATCACAGAATAGAAAGATTTTCAAATTTCAAATTTAATACCTTTACATGTAATCAAAAGGAAGTAGGGTTTAAATACTGTATTAAATTTTATCTTCACAGGGAAGGAAAAGACAGAGATAGTCACCCAAGTAATTCCAGACTAAAACAATTTATTTCACAATGATCTCTGAATTTAAAGCAAAATTACAATTTTACTATGATTATACAATTTACTTCCCTCTCACACACTCTTCAGATTCTACTGCAATCTGGCTTTTATCTCCCTCTATTATACATTGTTCTCTACAAAGTCACCAAGTACATCCTATCATTGACTTCCCCTTCTTCCTAATGTGGAACTTTTCTGCAGCATATGACACTGTTGCCCACACATTCACTCTTTTCTCCCTCAGGCTGCCCTAATGCTATTTTGGCTTTTTCCTTTCCCTGTATATATCAGTCTCTTTTGCTTTTTCCAGTTTTTCTGTCCTTTAAATGTTGGTTCCCTCAGGAGTCTGTCTTCAGCCCTTTCCTCTTTCCATTATCTCATCTAGTCTCGCAGCTCCAGCTCCAGCCTAGGCAGAGAGGAGAGGACTTCAGGTTACTATTTTTTTTTTTTAGTTCCACTTCCATATTTCTACTTTCTGAACATCTGCACTTTGAGCACTTTGTAGATTCCCTTGAATCCAGTTTATCTCTACCACCCCTGGATAAAACCTGATCCTGGGACCAGCAGATGGTGTAATGATTATGTCAATGGACTCCTATGTAATCGACCATGGTTCGAGTCCCAGACCCAGCAGCTTAAAACTCATGCCAGGCACGTGAGCATGCATGCCCAAAATTCCAAGAGGAAAATGGAGGAGAGGAATTGTGGCATGGCAATCCCCCCTAGGGGGTGATTTCTCACTTTCTGTCTCTCTCTCTGTCTCTCTTTTAAAAAATATCTCTCTTTAAAATAAAAGAAAAAAAGCCACCTATCTCAAGTTTCATTCTCAAACAAATCAACAATATCCATTCCAGTCACCCAGGCTAGAAACAATTTTATCTTTGTCTTCTCTCCCTCCTTCATACTCCATATCCAATTGCTAAATTCTATTAATTCTAAGGATTCTCAAATCTGTTTCTCCTGTCCTTTCTGTCACTACCTTGGCTGAGGACACATTCATTTTTCTTTCTTATCACTGCAATAGCGCTTGATCTCCCTGTCAACAGTTCTTTTCATTCCGTCTTCTATATTGCCATCAGAATTAACTTTAAAAGTACAAATCAGGCCCAGTCTCTGTCGCACAGTCGTAAATACTGAACTGCAATGTTGTAAGTCACATGACCAACCACAGGTTTGGGTTCCCATCTAGTTGACTGAAACAAACTGGGTGTCAATGGGTAGAGTCTCTTTGGAAAACTGCTCAGCAGTATCTAACAAAGTTTAATATACAAATATCTTATGATCCACATTCCACATATAGGTACACAGCAACATATATGTTTATATATATTCACTAAATGCCATGTATTAGAATATACATAATAGTATTTGTAATAGCCCCAAGCTGGAAACTACTCAAATGCTCACCAATAGTAGAATGGGTAAACAAATTGTGGCATATTCCTCCAATGACATACTATAAAGCAAGAAGAACAGATGACCTAAAACTAGACTTAATAACATGTAATGCTGAGCAAAAGAAACCATGTATGACCCAGCTATGGTGGTAGTAGGTAGCAGAGGCACTGCTATACAATGCTGGAGACCACACGGAAAGCTCTGGGTTTGTGTTCTAGGTCTGCCAGGCAGAATCATGAGTGGCCTGTGATCCTGGGTTCAAGGCAGGGGATATGAAGACTCTGTTGAGGGTGCCTCTCCTCTTGCTCTCTTTCTCTCTCCCTCTCATGAAGGACATAAATACACTTGAAAGAAAGAAGAAGAGAAGAGAAGAGAAGAGAAGAGAAGAGAAGAGAAGAGAAGAGAAGAGAAGAGAAGAGAAGAGAAGAGAAGAGAAGAGAAGAGAAGAGAAGAGAAGAGAAGAGAAGAGAAGAGAAGAGAAGAGAAGAGAAGAGAAGAGAAGAGAAGAGAAGAGAAGAGAAGAGAAGAGAAGAGAAGAGAAGAGAAGAGAAGAGAAGAGAAGAGAAGAGAGAAAGGAACTAGGCCAGCCCTGAAGCACAGCAGTTAATCACTGTCAAGAGGGAGCCAACTTGTGAGGTTTAAATCCCAGCTCTGGTGGCTCCAAAAACACTCCAGGCAGATAAAGGCACACCCAGGATCTTTGATGGGATGGTGATATGGAGGAGAAAAATTTGTGACATGACCAAGCCCCATGGGAGGTTTCTCTTGCTCTCTCTCTCTCTCTCTCTCACTCACTCACACATCCTCTGGCTGTGTGAAAAGAAAGAAGATAAAATGAGTACTACAGTATGACTTCATTCATATAAAATATAAATGTAGGTGAAACTACTCTATGCTGTTAGAAGTCAGATGGCTGTTTCTCTTGATGGAGAAACAGGGAGAGTGACTAGAAAACGCATGATATGGGCTGTTAGTACTATTTTGTTTCTTGATCTGGTTTATGGTTGTAAGAATGTGATCACTTAGTTGTATACCTATAATACATGCATTTAAAAAACATTTGTCAGGGACCAGCAAGTGGCATGGTGCTTAAAGCGCTGGACACTCCCATATGGCCAACCACGGTTTGAGTCTTGGACCTTGTGGCTGCTTTCTTTCTCTCTCTCTTTCTCTCTCTCATCAAATTAAAATAATGAATGAATAAATAAAATTAAATAAATAATTCTTTTTAAAAAACTTGTCAGAGGTGCATGCACTCACCTGAAACACACAGAGAGAAACAAGGAAAGTAAGAAAACACCCCCCCCTTCATAGGGCATAGTCACCCTACAATCAATCCGCTCTCCTCCTTTTCTCCCTCCTGTTGGGATTTGGGAATGCATACACAAGTACACAGTATGTTTTACAAGCATTCAGTTCTGGAACTTGAACCATGTGATCAGCCATGTGGAATCCAACTACCTTAACCACCAGACCACAGGCTAGCCCAGTATAATATATGCATTTTATGAACATGTATTTTCAGTAAAAATTTTAAGTGTCAGCTGGTCAGTAAGTTTGGGAAATGATGTCTTATGCAACTCTTTTGGCTAAAAATGCTCTTATTTCCATTCCCAAATTATGAAAATCTTAGTTCAAATATTTATTTAATCTGATCATATTCTAGGTACTGTTTAAGGATATGAGATACAATAGTGAGCAAAATAGATATAGACCCTCTTCCTTATGGAGCTTACATTCAAGTATCACCTCTGATTTAATGTTTCCTCAGTTTCCTCAAGCAAAATAATTACCCCCATTCCATTCCACTCCTAGTTTAGATCACAAGGATGACATCAGCAAAGTGAAGTGGTTAAGAGTAATCACTCTGGAATCAAATAATCAGGTACAAATCCTTGTTCTGCTACTAACTAGTTGTGTGATCTTGGGCAAGGGTCAGTAGGTTTTTTCAGTAAAGAGTCAGAATAGTAAATATTTTAGACTTTGTGGCCAATTTACCATTGTAGTATGAAAAAATACCAAAGTGGTTGCACTATGTTCCAACTAAAGTTTATGTACAAGAACTGGTGATAGTTCTTGATCTTGTTAACCTCGCTGTACCTCAATTCTTAAATCTGTATAATATAGGTAGTAGTATTATCTACTTTATTAGACTGCTGTGAGAATTTAATGAGTTAATGTCTAAAGTGCTTAGAACAGTGCCTAGTTCAGGGGCTGGCAGGTGGTATGATGGTTAAGGGTGCTGGACTCCCATATGACCAACCACAGTTCAAGTCCTGGACCTGGCAGCTTGCTTTCTCACTTTCTCTCTCTTTCTGTTCCTCTCTGGTCAAATTAAATAAACAAAGCTAAATAAAAATATTATTTTTAAAAAATAAATAAATAAACTATAGTGCCTGGTTCAACTGTTTACTGTTTTTTGTCTATGGTTTCACTTGTTACAATAAGAGTATATTGCTTCAGCAATTTGTAAAACATCAAAATAAAGAAAATCAAATGTGAAATAAAGGGAATACCTGTGCCTTTGTGGAATTTACAATCCAGCCAAAGAAAAGAGAAGAAACTTGGAAATAAAAGAAGAGTGCCCTAGTCCATTCTGTTGCTAGTAAAATATCCAAGTCTGGTTAATTCAAGAGAATAAAGGTTTATTTAGCTCTGGATACAGAGATGCAAGGTCCAAGACCACATCTGATGTGGGTCTTCTGGCTGTGTTACAACATGGTGGAGGGCAGGAATGTTTTTTGTGTTTTTTGCTCTTCTTTTTTTTTTTTTTTTTTTTTTTTTTTTTTTTTTTTGCATTAGGGCACATGAGGTCACTAGAGAGAGATAAATAGAGAGGAAAAAAAGTGAGAAATCATCCACCAGTGGGGATGGCTATGCTGCAATCCCTTCTCCTCCATTCTTCTCTCAGGATTTTGGGCATACATACCCAGCATGTTTTTCAGGCTGCCCAGATCCAGGACTTGAACCACACAGTTGGCCATATGAGATCCAGTTGCCTTAACAACACCACCACCAGCTGGCCCTCTTTCTTTCTTCATCAGATTAAGGTTGAGATCATTGCCTGGGCAGATCAGATCTAAATTTCTTTTTTAGCTCTGCACAATATTTTAAAGTTGGAAGGACCTTAGAAATAATCTAACACAAAGCACTATTTCACAAGTGCCAAAACAAAACCTAGAAAAGTGATTGTGTTAAATCTCAGAGCACATGATTGTGTTAGATTTCAGAGCACATGACCGAACTCTAAGTCTCTGATTACCTTACTTATTCAAAGGGTATTTTTTACTATACAACACAATTTCAACTATTGAAATTTTATTAATTCCATTATTTAAAGATAGGTACTACATAAAAACATGCCTTTAGGTGAAAAAGAACTTCTAAAAGCTTTTCTATAGCTATAGATCTGGTCCTAGAATGTCTGTAGGATATTCTTAGTATGCTTTTGTTATATAAGAATGTTTCTTCTTATATATTATTATTATTAATAAAAATTAAACGAAAAAAGAATGCTCTTTCTTTGGTACACAACATAGTAGCAGTGATTGTCATTTCATCCCTTTTGTCACACTGCATTATATTATATTCAGTTGTTCAAATTGTATATAACAACATTATTACTCTTGTATGTATGGTGTGTTGAGTATATATGTGTATAAAATTTTTCTGAAAAATGCTTTTGAATCTATAGATCCCCCCAAATTAAAGTTCTTTTAGGTAATTGAGTAACAACTGTTATGGCATGCACATAGTAATTTATTGAAACTACAAAATTTAGAGCCAATCCTTAAATAACTCATTTGTAAAATTAAACAACCTGCAAGTATAGACTTTCACTTTAAATATAGAATCGAAAAGACCATGTGTAGTAATGAAAATCATGGCTGAAAAGGTCTCTTAAGTTTTGTTATGTTTCTATACTCCAGAAATCTTTTTTCTCAGCTCAGCTGGTCTAATACTTTAAGAGTTATTACTCATATTTTTATAAATCTCTAACACATGAAAATGCTAAAATTTGATCATAGAAGATATTATTAAAGTAGTTTGCTAATGCCATAAGTGATGTTTGACAGTTCAGTTGTCAAGTTCTGTGACCTTGGGCAAGTTACTTTACTTCTCTGAGCTTCAGTTTCCTTCTTATTGCAAGATTTTATGGATATAATAACATAAAGCCCTTGGCAGAGTGCCTGGCATATGGTGAGTGCTGAATAAATGTAGGCTTCTGTAATTATCATTCTTATCATTTTTAGTATTAAACAGCAAAATCATATAGTCACTTAATGTTTACGGGGAGACATAGCTCATACAGTTCAAATGATAAAGATATGTTTGCACCAGGTCAATTTGTTAATTTTACAGTGAGAAAAATAACTGCCAAGCTGATTGAAATTCATATACCCAGCTCAGCACTTTTCCCCCTAGGAAAAGCACACTTCGGAAACCAAATGAAATCAGGAGTCCATTTGGTGAGTATATTGAATTCAAGCCAGAAAGATGACTGCTTTCTTTCTGCCCTAATTCTCCTTCAACTTTAATCTTTTCTACTTCTGCTACAGCTTAATATTCCTAAAACAATTATTTTACTCTCTTTTCTAATCAAAACCTGACTTTCTATTAACAATAGAATAAAGCAAAAATTCCTTAGCCTGGCTTTTAAGTTCTACATTAATTTGTCCCCATAGTTCCTATCCAATTTTATTTTCTTCTTCTATCTAACATGATGAGCCCTTCACTCCAGTAAGGATGGATTTTTTGTTATTCTCTGAAACATACTGTACTTATTTCTTACTCTGAGTTATCTGCTAGGTTTTCCTCATAGAATTCTCTCTCCTCTATCCAAATCTGTTCATTACTCAAGGTACACCTTAAGTCCTACTTCCTTTGTGAGGAATATACAAGCCATTCTAGTCCACACTCAGTCTCTAAATTCCTATCATTTGTATTGCCTATTACTTTCCACATATATATAAGTCATATACTGCTTTGTATACTGGCTTGATTCAATACAAATGTAAATCTTATTTCCCTAATCAGATGATAAACTTCTGGAAAAAGAAGATCACTTTTTATTTATATATGTATTTTTAGAGGTTTTTGCTATAGGGTGCGTGTGCTCGCCAGACAGACAGAGACAGAGAGACAGAAAGCGAGAAATCACCCCCCGGGGGGATGGCCCCGCCGCAATCCCTTCTCCTCCATTCTCCTCTTGGGATCTTGGGCACGCATGCACACACGCTGGCGTGAGTTTAAGCCACCGGGTCCGGGACGCAAACCGCGGTTGACTACATGGGAGTCCAGCGACATAGCCATTATGCTAACTACTGGTCCCACGAAGATCACTTTTTGTATTTTCTCAGAGAATAACAGTTTTACACATATATTACAGGTTGGGCATCTCCAATCTGAAAACTTGAAATCCAAAAGACCTCAAAAACTGAAACTTTTTGAGCACTGACATGATGCTGCAAGTGGAAAATTCCACACCTGACCTCACATGACAGATTATAGTCAAAACATTGCAATACAAAAAGACTTTATAAAGTTATTTTCAGACTATATAGCTAAGATGTGTATAAAACATAAAAGGATTTTATGTTAGACTTAGGTCTTATCCCCAAGATATCTCATTATGTATATGTAAATATTCCAATATCCAAAATCTGAAATGTTTCTCTTTTGAAGCATTTTGGATAAGGAGTACACAACCTGTGTGTAATATTGAGTCTCAAGAATAAATGAGCGATGCATTAATGAATGTCATAGGACATGCTAAAACTGCCTGGTTGAATCCAGCAAGGTTGCCCGGCCCAGGTATGCTCCTCCAGAGTGCTAGCATCTAAGTTTCTCACAGAACTTTCTGCCTCAATTATTTTATTTTATTTTATTTTATTTTTATTAAGAATTATTTATTTATTTATTCTTTCATTAGAGAGAGACACAGAGAAAGGGAAAATGAGAAAGCAAGCCACCAGGTCCAGGACTTGAACCAGGGTTAGCCATATGGGAGTGTCTAGTGCCTTAACCACCACACCAACCCGCTGACCCCTCCCCTTCAATTCTTATAATTACTTCAACCGGTGTAGCACAAGTTTACTCATTACTTTGGGAAGTAAATATCTAACAAGGAACCTTTATCTTTAAATATTTCTCTGTTTCTGATTTCTTTTATTCTTGATGATCTAAATATATAGACATGAGGGACCAGCAGTTGGCATAATGGCTATGTCACTGGACTTCCATGTAGCCGACTGCAGTTCAAGTCCTGGACCTGGTGGCTTAAACTCACACTGGGTGCATGTGCATGCATGCCCAAGATCCCGAGAGGAGAATGGAGGAGAAGGAATTGAGGCATGGCCATCCCCCCTGGGGGGTGATTTCTCGCTTTCTGTCTCTCTGTCTCTCTCTGTCTTTCTGGTGAGCGCACACACCCTATAGCAAAAACCTTCCCCAAAAATAATAAATAAATAAATAAATAGACATGAAACAAGCACCCAGTAAGTAATTTTGTAGGAATTTATTTAATTTTCTGAATATTCTCAGTCCATTAGGCAGCTAAAATGTAGACATACTCTCTCAGAATATTATGTGCCAATTAACTGATGAAACTGCTGTTTTAAAAAAGCTCCAAAGATTAAAGTCATGATTCTGAACCAACTCACTAAATGGTCATTGATTTTCTTTTAATTCTTAACAAGTACCTTATATGCCTTTCGTATTCTGATGGAGTGAGAAAGCTGAGCAGTGGCCATTGTAGGGCTGTATCAGGATTCTTTTAACAATTCTAACCTGTTAAACAAAAAACAATTAGAGACCTTGCCTAATGTAATACTTTTTATCTTACTGAAATTTTACCAAAAAAAACAAATCAAGGGCAGATAGGTATAAACAGTTTTCCAGGTTGTTCTGTTTAAAGAGAAATTCACCAAGCTCAATTTTGAAGAAGCAAAAGAAGAATGGATACTAAAAATAGTTGTCAGGTCTTATCTAAACCATAATACAATCTGAGTTGGAGAAATCCTTACTGAGAATTTTCCAGAGGAGAACTATATTATTAGAATCTGGCCACATTCTCTGGGAATTAACCTTAATCTCCATTACCAATTTTCTATAAATTTGTCATAAAATCTCTATATTAATTTTTCTACCATTGAGTGTGAATGTTAAGATGGTTTACTTGGGGGCCCAGCAGTTGACATAATGGTTATGTCGCTGGACTACCACATAGTCAACCACAGTTCAAGTCCCAGACCAAGACTTAAAACTCACATTGGGTGCGTGGGCATGTGTGCATGCCCAAGATCCGGAAAGGAGAATGGAGGAGATGGGACTGTGGCATGGCCATCTCCCCGGGGGATGATTTCTCTCGTTCTGTCTCTCTGTCTTTCTCTGGTGAGCACACATGCCCTATAGCAAAAATCTCTCTTAAAAAAAAAGATGGTTTACTTTTTCACAAGCATGTGTAGTGGAGAAAAAATAAATTGTATATCAACTTAAATTCAATAATATATCTTACTCGCCCTTGTTATTCTCTCATAGTGCCACAGTGCCCTGTAGATAGCAGGGACTTGAGAACTTTTTTTTTTTAAGACCAGTTTGTTTTCCTACCCCAGTCTTAGCCTCCCAGCTGGAACTATAGGTACATGACCACTTCTTTTCTAGCAGAGTCTCACTATGTTGCCTAGGCCATCTTTGAGCTCACCATCCTTCTGTCTCAGCATTCCCCAGTGATTGAAATAATAGATATACACCACCAGGCTCAGACTTTAGGCTGGACTGAGAATTGAACCTCGGCCTTCCACATAGTCCTAGTTGGCAGAGCTCAATATCATAGTAGCACCCACCACCAGGGAACTACTTTTTTTAATTGCCAGAGGGTACATGTGCTTGTTGGAGATAGAAAAACTGTCAGAGAAAGAGAGGCCAAGTTGTGATCCCTTCTCCATTTCTCCTTCCTGTTGGGATTTTAGGCACCTACACACACATTCCTGCAGGTTTCTCAAGCTGACTGGGATTTCAGTCATGGTTGGCCATATGGGATCTGTTCCCTTAACTGCTAGCCTATGAAGTCAGCCCTCATAGAAACCTCAAGAACATTTCTTAAACTAACTCAATGCGTAATTTATTTGCATATTCAACTCAAAAGGTAATGTTTATACTTCATGCCCACTAGAATGGCTATTCAAAAAACAAAAAGTGTTTGTGAGGATGTGAAGAAATCAAAAGTCTTGGGAACCAAAAGTCGGCGTAATGGCTATGTCGCTGGACTCCCACGTAGTCGACCACGATTCGCGTCCCGGACCCGGCGGCTTAAAACCCACGCCGGGCGCGTGTGCGTGCGTGCCCAAGATCCTGAGAGGAGAATGGAGGAGAAGGGATTGCGGCGTGGCCATCCCCTCTGGGGGATGATTGCTCGCTTTCTGTCTCTCTGTCTCTGTCTGTCTGGCGAATGCACGCGCCCTATAGTGAAAAACCTCTCAAAAAAAAAAAAAAAGTCTTGTGCATTGCTGTAGGGAATGTTAAATGATATAGCTATTATGGAAAATAGTAAAACAGTTCCTCAAAAAGTTAAGCAGAATTATATTATCCAACAGTTTAACTTCTAGACATATGCCAAAAGAACTGAGAGCCAGGATTAAACAATATACTTGTACATTAATGTTCATAGCAGCACTATTAACAAAAGGCACTGTAAGGTTACTCAATTTTTTTCAAGGATGAAATGTGAATGTACCTTGAAAACATTATGTTAAATGAAAAGAAAAAGCTAGACACAAAAGGACAAATATTGTATGATTCCACTTATATAGGTACCTACAGTAGGAATATTAACAGAGACAGAAAGTACAATAGAAGTACAAAGCACTAGAGGTTAGAAGGAATTGGGGTGTTTAATGGGTACAGAGTTACTGTTCAAGATGATAAAAAGGTTTTAGAACTCAACAGTGGTATGGTTGCACAACACTGTGGATGTGCTCAGTACCTATGAATTGTACACTGAGAATGGTTGAGACTTTTTTTTTAAGAGATTTTTGCTGCAGGGCATATACACTCACTAGTGAGGCAGAGAGAAAGAAAGTGAGAAATCACTCGCTGGGTCAGGGGGAGATGGCCACTCTGCAATCCCTTCTCCTCCATCCTCTTCTCGGGATCTTGCACACACACAAACACACACACACGCCTGGCATGAGTTTCAAGTTGCCAGGTCAGGGACTCAAACTGCAGTCCAGCAACGTACCCATTACACCATCTGCTGGTTCCATCACAATTTTTTTTTAAAAGTTCATGTTTAAAAAACATCTAGTTTTCATCTCTTTGCTTCACTAACAAAAATAAAAAATATTTTTTCTCTTCTCTTTGAAAACTTTAATGTCAATTTAGGTTTCTTTCATAGGGTTTCATGAAGTTCTGCTCAAAATACTTAAAAATAACCTATTTAAAGAAATCCCATTCCAAATCACCCAGGATAGCATCATCACCATGACCTTTTTTTGTATGTTGATTAATGCAAGAGTCTGGAAGATTTTGAATTAGAAGAAAGAATTATTTGAGGACACTTCCACAAGGTGGTGATGGAGATTATTTAATTTCTCTCAAACTCTTCAGAGCACCACTAGGGGACACTCTTTCACAATGTTTTACGTGAGACTGAACACCTACATTCTGTTTAAAGATTTCAAGGTATCTTTTGTTGACTTCAGAGTATAACCTTCAAATCTGACTCAACACATCAGTTGCCTCCTTTACATTTAAAAAAATAAAATGGGGGGAAAGGCAATTTTTAGAGTTTAAGCTCTAGGTCAACCCAATTAAACCATTGCAGACTATTTTCTACTAGGACAGTGGATTAGTCTTAGTGACAATAAATAAGAATCATAATTATTTTTATCATTGGTAGGTTTTTCTTTTTTCTTTCTTTCTTTCTTTTTTTTTCTTTGTATGATCATAAGACATTCTGATAGTATTTCTGGAAAATCAATCCCTGGAAATAGCATCAGTCAATTAGAACACAATGCATTATTACTACAGTCATACTTTTAGAAGGTATAGATGACCTAGATTATATTGATGACTGTCACTGAAAACTCTGAGACCAGGGCTCCTGCTTCTGAGAAAGAATTTATAATAGTCACTATTAGTATTTGGTGAGTTCCTTAAGAATGAACATAGGGTCAGCTGATGGCATAGCAGTTAGGTCACTGGACTCTCAGATGGAGAATCATGGTTCAAGACCTGGAACTGGTGGCTTAAACATCACACTGGGCATGTGTGTGTGCGCATGCCCAAGATCCCTGGAGAAGAATGAACATATATAAGTAAATAAATTTTATACATACATATGCACGTATAAAATGTATCTGAGGGGGAACAGCAGGTGGCATGGTGGTTAAGAGTTCTGGACTCCCACAAGGTCAACCACAGTTCAAGTCCTGGATCTGGCAACTTGCTTTCTCACTTTCTTTCTCTCTCTCACTCTGTCCCTCTCTGGTCAAATTTAAATAAATAAGGTAAGTTAAATAAATTCTTTTTTAAAAAATGTATATGAGAAAAATAACCAATAATACAAAGAGAAGAGGTTTTGGACTTAAGGAACCTTGGTTCAAATTATGACTCAACTACTTAGCAGCCATGTGACTCTGGTCAAATTATTTAATCTCTTTGGACTTTAATTTCCTTTTGTAAAATGGAAGTAATAAATCTAATTTTGGGGGGTTCTTTCAGTACTTATCTGAGCATGTTTTTGTCTGGTGAGGTAGCATAGTTCAGTGGGTAAACACAGGGACTCTTTTGGAACCAAACTGCCTAGGATCAAAATTTAATCTGCAATTCACTATCCAAATGACCTTAGGTAAGTTGTGTCCTTCGGTTTCTGTATTTATAAAATAGAGATAATAATAGTACCTACTTTATATGATTGTTTCAAGGATTAGTCATTATTTGTAAAGCACTTAGGACACCCTCTGACACAAACTTCTTTATACATAATGAAGCATGTTAAAAACCCTCATATTTGTGGGACCAGCAGTTGGCATAATAGCTATGTTGCTGGACTCCCATATAGTCGACTGCGGTTTGAGTCCCGGACCCAGTGGTTTAAACTTATGCAGGGCGCATGTGTGTGCATGCCCAAGATCCCAAGAGGAGAATGAAGGAGAAGGGATTGCGAGGTGGCATGGTGGTTAAGAGTTCTGGACTCCCACAAGGTCAACCACAGTTCAAGTCCTGGATCTGGCAACTTGCTTTCTCACTTTCTTTCTCTCTCTCACTCTGTCCCTCTCTGGTCAAATTTAAATAAATAAGGTAAGTTAAATAAATTCTTTTTTAAAAAATGTATATGAGAAAAATAACCAATAATACAAAGAGAAGAGGTTTTGGACTTAAGGAACCTTGGTTCAAATTATGACTCAACTACTTAGCAGCCATGTGACTCTGGTCAAATTATTTAATCTCTTTGGACTTTAATTTCCTTTTGTAAAATGGAAGTAATAAATCTAATTTTGGGGGGTTCTTTCAGTACTTATCTGAGCATGTTTTTGTCTGGTGAGGTAGCATAGTTCAGTGGGTAAACACAGGGACTCTTTTGGAACCAAACTGCCTAGGATCAAAATTTAATCTGCAATTCACTATCCAAATGACCTTAGGTAAGTTGTGTCCTTCGGTTTCTGTATTTATAAAATAGAGATAATAATAGTACCTACTTTATATGATTGTTTCAAGGATTAGTCATTATTTGTAAAGCACTTAGGACACCCTCTGACACAAACTTCTTTATACATAATGAAGCATGT